CTCCTTTTTTTTTTTTTTTCTTTTGTATCCTTCGAACACTTGGCCTTCGAAGCATCAACGGAAGTCTTGCGTAAAATGGAAGAAGCGAATGTGCGCACCATAATTGCCTCGCGAGTTCTCTCCCTACGGTCCCTTACAGTAGAATTAAATGCAAAATAGGTGCGAAACGTTGAAACTTACGTTAAAGTACGAACGTTGATTTTTCGTTGTATAAATCGGATAATACGGGGTCGAGTATATATTCAGCACATCCCTCTCATTGGACCATCGCGAATAGATTGTTCGCGCTATTTATCAAACCGTAGATCCCGAATGCAAAAATATCGCGAGCGATATTTATTTCGCCTCTGATCTGATCGACTCTAATTTCCGTGTGTAAAAATAGGCTTTTCAAGTATGTCATTCTGTTATATCGCTGTTATCATTCTCTCGGCGTTTAGTGCCGCGCGTGCCACGATCTTTTTACCTCTGATATCAATCCACGATGAAATTCTTTGCCATAGTAAAAAGTCATGGGGGACTCGAATGATCACGTTAATGGAAATTAACACGATGATTCATGGTAGTCTTTTTCGCGCTTAAAAAGGAGCTTACGCGTATACCAGCGTATACCATCGGTGTATGTACAAGGCCGTCTTTTTCGTCAAGTACGAGTGGTCGATTGCATTTTTATCACACATAAATATATACGTTATAAATAATATACGTTATAAAAAGTTTCTTTTTATGCTTAGTGGTGTAACGCGTATAGAAGTAAATAGGCGGAGATAAGACTTCCTTCGTCATTTGATATGGTCGTGATACTTTCTTAATATGCATGTCATTGCAGCGTCGAGTTCGATCAGATTCAATCGAGATCGTCCGTGTGATCCCGGAAAATTCGATTGAACGTTCCCGTTCTCGATTTTCGTTACCTAACAATTAACGTATTATCTTACGAGTATTCGATGTGTGATGATGATACTTATTATTATATCGATACTGTATACTAAGTATTGCACTAATGGCGTAATAATGTGTAATGGGCCCATACAGATCGTTACTTAGATCGACGATAGAAGAACAGTCATTGGAGCGGAAATGTTACTCGAAATAAATATTACTTATCGAGCTTTCTTATCGAGCTAGTGGACGCGACAGAATACTGTAATACGAATAATTATTGTGGAATCAATGATTTTTTTATGTCGTTCTCTACCTGATAATATATATAATATAACAGGGAAGCAATAAAGGAGATCGACATATAACGTTCAATGATCGCATAACACGGAGATTGCTCGATCACGTGTTTTTTTCGGAAAACAACGTTCGTGTAAACGATAAAAGAATCTAAATCGAAATATGATAATGATAAATAAATCTCTGAAGCGAATTCCAAATATAAAATATATAAAAACTCTTCTCATACGATGAAGATGCCACTTGATTACATGCAACGACGTGCATTTAAATGATATACACGATGTGTGACGTGCGACTTGAATTCCGCGTAAAGTTTATACATCACGTTTTGCGATGACGTCATTGAAACACGTAATCCTCGCATTCGATGATTAATGAGCAAGCATTTTCCCTTTTACAAAAAAGTAGGATTCCCTATAATTCATTATGCATATATAATCGATACGAAGCGTTTAACATGAAAGCCGGTTAATTATTTTCGCGTGCGAAGCCGCGGCATTCTCGTATCCCTCCTCCTCGCACGGGAGGGATTATCGCCGCGTAATCATCGGCACTTGTCAGCCTTACCTCTCGACGTACAGCTCCGCACAATTATTACCCCTATTGCAGTATTTCCGATATTCAAAGCCTCGCACAATTCGATCACGAATCTAGTCTATAGGCAGCTGTCGACTACAATTTCGCCTATTTTCGAGACCACCTCGTCAAAGGTTGGTCTCTCGCGCGGATCATTCGCCCAACACTGAGTCTGCAATTCTTGAAGAGCCGGCGGTGCCGCCTTATGCGGCTTCCACGTGAGCGTTTGCGCCTTGAGCTGAGTCAGCACGGACTCGTCGTTCAATTTGTTGAACGGTAATTCGCCCTGGTGGAACATCTCCCAGACTAGGCACGAGAACGAATATACATCGCTCTTGGTGGAGTACTCGTCCTCGTACACGGCTTCGTAGGGCAGCCATCTTAACGGAATGACCTGATTTCGATGCTTCGTATATTCTTGCTGATACGGCTCTTTGGTCATGCATGGTAGCGAGATCTTGATCGTCAAATTGCTGGCGATCAAACAATTACGCGCGGCTATGTCCTTGTGGACCAATCGATTATCGGCTAAATGTTTTAGGCCCTTTGCGGCCTGATTTGACAGCGACAATATTTGCGCCACTGACAGCTGAGGCGCACGCGGCGGCTTCGATTCGTGTGTCGGACTGGAATTATTATCCTTTCGCGAAGCAATCAAGAATTGTTTCAAGTCACCCCAGTCAGTGTATTCCAAGATCATATAATCGGGCTCCTCCTCTCGACATAAACCGATCAGCTTGACGACATTCTCATGATTAAGTTTATAGACGAGATCTAGATGCCGTTTAAATTCTTGAAGAGCAATCTCATCTTTTGTGTTTATGAGACTCTTGACCATAACCAAAGACTCTTTGTCACCATCAACCTGATACTTAGTAGAATAAATCTCACCGAATTCACCCCGACCAAGAGGCTTCAATTCTTTAAATTGCTTCGCGAGACTGCGATTTTATCATAATTTGACTTGGATTTTTTAGACTGATTGCTACTCTGGCTGTGAGCAGTATCCGCGCCGTCACTCTTGTTATGGGAATCACGATTCTCCTTCTTCTTACTCGTCGAATTTACTTTATTCCCAGTTTCTTTCAATTCCGTTTGTTCTTCCTGTACGTCACCGTTCTCCAATTTTTCTAGAATTTATAGGTATACATATTGATTTAAATATTTGCAATATTCATCAAATTATATATATTAATATTGACAACGTACCTTCCGTTTGTTCCTGCAGATATTGTTGCTTTCTACGACGACGACGATAACGACAATATAACATGAGACCAACGACGAGCACCATATATCCTGCGGCTGCGCTAAGAGTAATCGTTACAGTCTTAGTCATCATCGTTCCTTCATCATTTGTCTCTAGATCCATGTCGGTTCTATAATTATCTCCAGCTGCAATAATAATTATTCTGACATAAAATAATCATATCAATTTGCAATAAATTTACAATAAGACAGAGAGAGAAAGAGAGAGAGAGAGAGAGAGAGAGAGAGAGAGAGAATTAAGAAATTATAAATTATAATAATGTAATAATAAATAATTGTACCTTTTACGTTTAATTGAACTTCCTCTCGTTTTAGACCTCCGCTATTACCAGCGGTACATCCGTACTTTCCTTCGTCACTAAGATATACCTCCTTAATGTACAAACTTCCATTACTTAACACTTCGAATCGAGGATTATCTAGATTATTCATGCGAGAATCTTTATCCCATTGAATAGTCGGTTTAGGATCACCCTCGGCGGCACAATGTATCATCACAGGATATCCCTCGATCGCCTCTGTTGGATTTTGTGGTTGTACCGTGAATTTCGGCGCGACTGTGAAAAACAATCGAGTATATTAATTCATAATATAAAAATCAATTTATTACTATCACTAAATACCCGCGCGATATGCAAAATACTCACTAACTACATCAATGTTAATCGTGTGATTAATGGATCCCTGGGCGTTGCTCGCGATACAAGTGTATTGACCCTTGTCCTCCTCCAATACGCCGTTGAAGTGTAGAGTGCCATTAATATCCTGAACATGTTTGGGGAATTCCTCGTCCTCACCCTCCTTGACCCATTTCACCGTGGGATTCGTCGCACCCTGGGCCTTGCACGATACCTTTGCCGTGGAGCCGAGCTCCAGGCGTTTATTGACAGGCTGTGGCGAGAATTTCAACTTCTCCTCGACTGTGAGAACAGCCTGGTCCGAAAACAGGGACGGGAAACCCATGGTGAATACCTGACACATGTAGTGCCCCTTATCGGACAGGTCGACGCTCTTGAAGTGCAAGGTAACATTGCCATGATTATCGGTAACGCGGTATCTCGTCGGGCCGCCCGATTCCCTCAGCTGCGTCCCGTCCTTCAACCAGTGCACGTTCGTTACCGGCGGTTCCATACCGGAATACGAACAAGTCAGCGTCACGGAATCACCTTCCATCACGCTGAGCGACTCTGGGGAGCTTATTATACTTGGCGGAGCTAGAAAATATATGATAAAAAATACAATTTGCAACTTTTCTGAATTATTATGCGATAAGAATTTCCTTCGAATTAATTATATTAATAAAAATATTCATTACCTTTAATAACTTTTAACTTATAATTCTCTATCGAGAGAAAAATTGTATACTCACTTGATATAACTATTTGGACGGATATATCCGTTTCACCGGCAAGATTCTCGGCCATGCAAGTGTAATTACCGTCGTCCTCGTTCATCCGTGCCCTCGCAATGATGAGCGTGTTGTCTTGTACACGCACAGGGCCGGTATCGCTTATAATATGTCCTGTGGGATCTTTCCAATAAACCTTGGGCGGAGGAAGTCCTAAGGGCTCCAGACAACTTATTTGGAATTCTTGATCCTCGCCGACAATCGCCATTTGAGTTGGAAGTTTCGGTTCGAAGGCGGCCATCGAAAAATTTAGCAAATCTGCAAGTATTTTACATATATATAAAATTTTGTTTATTGTTCAATAAGTATAATAAGAAGTTAATCATTTACTTCAAAATATCATAATTATTTCGTATTAATTATCAGTTTGTTGTTCAAAAAAAAAACGGCGCCATTGGGTTAATCAATTTGATTTAAGATTTTTATTCTAAATGTATTTTTATCTCTCGAAGGTCTATTGATCCTTACAGGCAATTTGTAATTCGACCGTGTAACTGATTGTGATCTCGTCTCTCGTTCCATGGCAGGAATAGAATCCTTGGTCCCTTTGATCAGCGGCGTGTATCATAAGAGTACCATTCTCGAAGATCGTCCGTTCCTCGTCGGATTCCAGCGGACCGATTTCCTTGAAGAACCATTGCACCTCGTCGGCGTCCTCGAAGACGCAGTGCAGAGCGGCCGGCTCGCCACGCTTGGCGATCAAGTCTCTCGGAACGACTTTAATCGTCGCAGTTTCATTTCCGGAAACGATTAACGGGTAGCTCTTCGTCACCGGCGAGGCTCCCGCCTCGTTCTTCGCGAGACAGGTGTACATGCCACTGTCCCCGGGAACCGCTCTGTGTATGTGCAGCTTTTTTTTCTTGATCTCGACATGATCGCTTCGCGCTATGCTCACCCTGTTCCTGGAAAACGAACGGCCGACCGTCGGCTCGAATCATCTTCGCGAGATATGCAAATTATCCTACACAAACGTGCAATTGAATTTTGCGCTAATTATATCATCAGTTATACTGACGTTTCTTCTATATTCGGGCAGAGACGACGTTAATTTACTCCGCGTGATAATTTATTTGACAAGCTATTCCGCGTCTCTGCATAACTTTACCGTTCAATTCCTGCGATGTATGCTTCTTTCATATTTTTTTTTGCTTTTCGAGATACTTAAAAAATTAAACGTATAATAAACAACATCATTCTCGTTAATTCAAAAAAAAAAAAAAGACAGGCTCGAAAATGTCTCGAAAGGAAGAAATTTTTTTTCAACCGGATGACGTCGTCGAAAATATCACAACGGCAAGGCGTAGCCGACGTCATTAAGTTCCGTCGAACGCATGACGCGTGGGACGAGCGGCTTCCGAGGGGGATGATTCGAGGTGACGGCGAAGGTGAAACTCTCGACGGTGCATGCCGGGGCGAGGGAGTGTCACTTCATAATTCACCGGGTCGGTTCTGTAAACGTCGGGTGTCAGTTACGCTAGAAACTTAGTAGTTTGCCCCCATCATTCCGGCACACACCCTACCCCCCCTCCCCCGCATCGCGCATCCCCCGCTGGCTTTTCCAGCATTAGTTGCCTTCTCCTCGTCCCGGTTATCACGAGAGAAACGCTCAGGTAAATGGCCGAAAGTTAGAGAACAAGCGAGGCAACCAACTTGAACCACTCGTATTTCATGTCGCCGGAACCGTCGACGTGACATCGAAGCTCGACCTCGCTATCCAGGTGAATCGTGGAGGGCAATTTCGGCTGCTGCAGTTGCACACCCGCCTCGCTGACCCCTGCAACAGAAATCAATGGTGTTCTATGACGTAACGATCATCTATTAATGAAGTAAACGTTTGCGGTGTGCAACGTACCATATTGTTACGTGAGCACACCGAGGGCGGGCCAAAACGCGAGATAAATATTTTATAACACCAACGGTATTTGCGTTACTACATTGTCTTGTTGTTCGTAAGGAATATCAGAAACCAGCTACGTCGGAATAATACTTATTTTTTCGTTCCTTAATAACTGTCAATTATTATTAATGATGAGGATGAAGGTTGTCATTTAGAGGCCGCGATGGTACACGTCTCATAAACTCTACGCTACCGCATTTACGACGCACGTGCATATAACGTAATGAAAGAAAAAAAAAAAAGCAAGAAAACTGTAAGCGAGCTATTAAATATCGCGGATATTAAACCTAGTCCACAAGGCTAATAACTTTGAGATTATACGCGATATTGCCCGGCGAGGCGAGTGCGCGTAATTACGTGCGGTGCGTGTCGAACGATTTCTTTCCACCGGCGCGCCGTCCCTTTGGCGGGATTCCTTCGTGTTACGTAGATCGGCGAAGAAAATCAGAATGGAGAGTGGGATAAAAGGAAAGGATGGAGGAGCGGCGGCGGTGCTGAACGGTCACGGGAGAGGAGAGACGGACGAAATAAACGATCTCCGCCTCCAATTTCTTCACGTTCGACGCCGTCCGTCGTTGAGGGCGCCCGGAGGGCACGGGGAAGAGGAGGGGGGGGCGGGTGCGTCGACGTCGAGAGCGGCGAATAACCGCGCGGATATCGCGGCAGACCGGCTGGAATTCTAGAATGGAAAAGAAGCGCTCGCGCGACCGGGACAATGGGGAAGGAAAGCAATTCTCCGTAGAGATAGAAGAAGTCGACGAGAGAGATGGAACGGGATCGGGGGGAGGACGACGGGGAGAGAGGGGATTCCACCTTTCGGTTCCTGAGAATGTCAGGTCGATTCCACCTTTCCGCCGCTCTCCCTCCCCCCCCCCCCGGTTTTTTGTGCCCGCTCGGGGATCAAACTCGCCGTCTGAAAACGAGGGCGCGCGCGCGGGGCTCCATCCGACGAATTTAATCGAGCCAAATAAAACGCCGACTCGAGAGGGAGAGGAGAGGACGTGTTCCCCATTTCGCTTATCCTTCCGCGGCTGTTGGCCGCGACGGGCACGTCGCGAGCGAGCTCGTCAAAGCCCGTACCGGGCGCGTCTCCATGTATTATTCGTTAGAGACAGACGGAAAGGAAGGAAGAGCCGGAGGGTCTTGGCCCTTCGCATCGGATACTCGTTCCTTTTTTTTCCCCCTCCCAACTTATCTGGACTTTGCGGCAGGAGTTGTCTGAGGTTTCAGTTGTCCGAGGGTGCGGCAAATCCGTATCGATTCGAGAGGAACATTTAATCCGCCGATGCCCGCCGTACCTCCATGGCGATGTTATTTATTATTTGTAGAACTGAAATTCATAACTTTTTACTCATCCGAAGGTGCAATATCAAACGGTATAAAAAAAACAATAAAGTGATAATCAATGTAAAAGTTTCAAACACACGACAGAATAATAGATAGCGTCGCTCGGCAGACAGGATGTTGGGTGTCTATAATAATTTAATGTTTAAATTCCTCGGATTTGTAGATGTAAATTCAATAAAAGAGAAATTATTAGACACCTAAAACCCCGTCTGCCGAGGAATGGCGTCTATAATCTTATTGTTAATAATAATATTAACGGAATGAATCGTGGTAACGGGGGGATTGAACACATTACGTGCGATTGCGCAGATGAATAATCACGTAGATGAATAATTGTCGGTAAATCTTGGGAATCCTTCTCAATGAAGGAAACCAAAGTCAAGTCCCGGCACGTTAAACTATGCGGCGGGGCAAGCTAACGTCTGTTAAGCGAGGGCGAGGAGGGGGCGTATCGTAATTCACGGGGTAACAGTTGCCAAAGACCGTGTGGACGATAAGGCTTCGTTCATTAATTTGATTCATTAGTCCACGCCGTGAAATTGATCGGCCGCGCCGGCACCCTCGGCGGATAAAATGAAACGTAATTACACGCGCCTGGGGTCTCGTTAAAAAAATACGTCCAATCGTTGGAAGAAAAACGCGCGTCGTTAGCGCGCGGGGGAGATTGCATTCGCGGACGAACGTCGCAAATTGTGCGCGCGTTACGCACAACCGGATCGACTGGAGTCCGCAAGCTCACGATAATCTACTCGTTCCCGCGAACGTAACGATCCGCATTTCTACAAAGCGCGCGAGTAATTTATTGCTACACAGCGGTTGGATCGTCGAGCGGGATTGCAACTTTTGATCTACGTCTCAATTAACGGACATCATCGTTATCTCGTAAAAATCAAATTGCAAATCAGATCGCGAATCGTTAAAAAAAATTACTCCGATAAAACAAAAACGATATAATATTTTTCAATTTTAATTTTTATTTTATTTGATTTTCAATTTTTTCGTGCAGCTCATGTCGTATTAATTATTATATTATGGCATCTATTCCTCCGATCTCTCTCTCTCTCTCTCCCCCTCCCTCCCCCTCTCTCTCTCTTTCTCTCTATCTATCTATCTATCTATCTATCTATCTATCTATCTCTCTTCAATTATAATATTGCGTGACAAATTTAAGATATTTTTTTGCCCTGAGAAGTGGAATTAAATAATTTCAATGAATTCGAAGTAAAGGCAGAATCTGCGAAATATCTTATCTCGTTTTGCAGCCGGCAAAGATGTATGTCTAGTCATCCGTGAAACGGAAGGCGACTCTGCACTCTCGAGTTTCCCGAGGCGGCATTATTAACACCTCAGCCCGGGGTTCGATCTTTTTACCTCTATCTCCGAACGAGCTTCTGTCGTCGGCACTTTTCCGCCCCCCTCCCCTCTCACGCGGGCGTCTCTCTCGCTCTCGTTGGTGGTCGACGAGAGCTGCAGACCAGACTCGGCGGCGCATCGGGAGACGCTTCATCAACGGTGCACGTGAACGCGATTACTTCGAAAATGAATCCTCCACACGGACTGCGTAATAACTTTCCTCTCGCTCGGTGTGCCGTGTACGTGTCGCATCGTCGCGCGTATGTATCGCAAACAATTATCTTTTTGCCGTTGTGTCTGGCGTACGCTCTGCTTTATAGGCTATAAATCTAATGCACGGGACGCGTCCGTATCCCGCATAAATTGATCGAGCCTAAATGCAAATGTTAATTAACGGGGAAATAATTTAACGTTTCGACGAAATCAATCGTCGTTGCTGTTGCGAATTTTACGGCCGACTGTCGAGAACGAGAGATGCGTTTTCAATGTCACCGTTCGTGAGAATGAACTTCGAAATAGTCACATGTTCACACATACACGTGACCGGCACACTCCGCTTTCGGAGGCTGATCATCGATCGGACCTTCCGCTCCGTCTGGCTCGAATTGTTGCGAAATAGTGGTG